TGAAAGCTAATTCAGTGTCCACTTATGTCCACCTGGACTTCCTGATTGAGAAGATGAAGGAGAACGGAGACACAGAGAAGGTCCAGGACCTGGAGGAGATGAAGAGACAACAAGATGACAAAACCAGAGCAGCAGTGAGGTACAAGACGGGAAACCTCAGCAAAAGAAAACTAAAGCAACGATGGAACAGAGGAACATCATTCTGATGCCATGAACATTTGAAACATAAAACTGTTCTTTCCTTTTAGTTCTATAATGTGAGCTTGTCATTCAACATGACATAATCAGAAATATGGTGGACGGATAATTCAGATAATCTCTTCTTATTATTAGTAACATGTGGTTAATAAATCTAAAGTCAAAGTGTTGACTGCAGGAAAATGTTCTTTAACTATATATTATGTGCTGTTGTTGGTGTAATCAGTGAGTCTAGAGGATGTCAGAACCTCTAAACTCAGAATGATCTTTTATTGATACCTTGGATTCTTCATTTTTGAAACGACTGGTTGAAATATTCAGTCGAAACAGAAACATTTGGATCATTTTCTGTTGGACTGCATTGTCTAAATTCACTGTGTTCTGTTGTTCTACATAAACTCATCTCCTGGTTGATGCTGTGTTCTGTGAATCCTCAATAAATCTCTGCTTCATTAAGTCATTTTGCTGCAAGTGTCTTTCATAGATCAATTGCTCTTCAGTCTCTTCATGCTTCTGTTCAGTCAGTAAACAACTGTGTCTTGTACAGAGTGTAGTAACTAAAACCAGTTCTACATTTTACATGAGACCAGTGGGCAGAGGGAATGAAACAGGAGAGCCTTATGGATAAACAGCCAACAAAGCCATTCTGTCCTGTCATGTACAGAGGACTGGCCGACCTTTTTAACCAGATGTTATCAAGTGCGCTGTGAAGAAGCGTAAAGAGGCTTAAAGGTGGAGGGGGATGTAGCACAAACACATCACCACGATCTAAAGGAGGCACTTCTGTAGATTCTACGATGGTCTTCTGATGGGCAAAAGCGACGCAATTTGTTTCTGTATAAAAATACAGATTTAAAATTTTAATGTCCCAAATATTTAAACATGCTCTCTGTGTTTTACAAAGAAACACGGTCTAACTTTCACTTCACTATTTCAATGATTTAGAACTCGTAAAATAAAAAACAAAAAAACCCGAAAAACAAAAAACAGGACTTGCATCACATGAACTATTATAGCATTTGAACAACAGCTTGAAAGCAGAGTTTGGGTGTAAATGTCTAAGACAGAGAAAGAAGTAGTCAGAAACTACAGACCCACATCACACCTTCCTAGGAAAGGAGCCGATGGTCATCTCTGAACAGTTCAATTTAACTTAACTTAAAGTGACTTTTACTTTGGGTTTTGGTCCCAACATAGTACTGAGACTGATCTCAGTGCTGGCTTAGACTTCTTGACAGACTTCTAAACTTGAACTACTTCATCTCAGTTGGTAACTGCTTGGAGTTCCCTAAAACTCTCATTTTGGGGCCTCTTCATTTAAACATGACTGCTCGCACTAATTTATATAGATTTTTATAGTCAACCCCCGAATTTACCGTCTTGATCAACAAGTGATTACCGTCCCACAGATGGTTTCTGCCAGATCCCAAACTAGTCAGTTACTGTACATGTCTGAGCTTCTTCAGCAAAAACTGACAAAATTAAAGAACTATTTTAAATACAATTGAAGAAAAGGTGATTCTGCATTTCAGTTCATTTTCTGTCTTTAAAAAACAAAAATTAAATCAGAAATCTTTAAGTAGCTGCGAATTTCTAGGCCATCTAATCAGCAGCAAAGTCTGCAGACCTGTACAACCCGTCCATTGTTTTATTTTTAGCAGATCAGACAATCAACATTTTGATGTTTGAAGATTCATTTCCTTTTATTGCATTTAAAGCATAATGTTAAAGCACGTTAAATTTCCTTTGAGGATAAAATGTGACTTGGATAAACTTGCCTCAGTCGTTGTGCAAGATGTCATTTTAGGATCCAGTAGACTTTTAATATTTAGTATTGACATTTTCGACCACAGTACTTTTAATCAGATCAGTGATTAGATATTGTTTTCTTATGAGAAGCTGCTCCCCTGTAGTTAATTCTCTCCCATATATTAAATCTGCGCTCTCCTGGCTGCATTGGACTACAGATACAACATTGCTCTGCTGCTGTTTTGTGTTTTTTTCCTCAGGATGAACCAGTTTGTGTCTTAGAGTGTTGCTTTCTGGTTAGCTATGTTTGTAGAAAATCCTTCATAAGCTTTCAGACTCTGCAGCTTCGTACGTGATTACAGTGTTGTTCCTTCTGTTCTTCTTCTCTGTTTGCTGTGGTACTGTGTTTTTCAGATCTCTTTGTTGACTTCATGAAGGTCCAGTTGGGAGAACCACAGGTTTTTTGTGTTTTCTTAATATATGTCTGTTCCCTCTCTTTTTCTGTGCTGGTCGGGACATTCTCAGCCCAGTTCTGTAAGGTTCTGATAAACCCAGCTGATGTTCCAGTGAGGGGTGAGAACAGCAGATACTGGTTTGTGTTGAAGTTTTCAAAAACAGATCCCTTGCTGTTGTTTTACACCCAAGAGTCAGCAACACAAACTGGTTCATCCTGAGGATAAAAAAACAAAAAGCAAACACAAGCCAGGAATTCACAGACTGATGTATACAGTCATGAACAACAGTTAACATATATTTGTAAAGACACTGTAAATCTGAAAGTCTTGAGTTTCTAGTGACTCCTATAACTTTTTGAATGAAACACATGAATCTCTCACAATAGACGATCATGTATTTTGATTCATAGATTTATTAAAGGTCTTCTGGAAATATAATAAAAACCTATAAACATACATACAGTAATGCTAATTTTTGGTTAAACGTCCATGTTCTCCTCAGTCGGGTTCTTCTGGTCTCCGTCCACCAGCTTCTGGTCCATCTCTGACTCCTCTGGACAGAATCGCTGCAGTTCAACTAAACTTGTCGTCTTTCTGACTCAGACTTGTTCCTTCATCAGTCCACAGGTTCTGGATGGTTCCAGTCAGGGCTTTGGGGAGACCAGTCTAGAACCTTCATTCCAGCCTGATGGAACCATTTCTTCATCACTTTGATGTGTGTTTGGGCTCATTGTCTGGTTGGAACATCCAACTGTGTCCAAGATCAACCTTCTGCTGATGGTTTCAGGTTTTCCTGCACTTAGTGAAAAGTAAATTCCATTGACTTTGTGTAAAGCTCCAGGTCCACTGGCAGCAGAACAGAACCAGAGCATGATGCTGCCACCTCCAGGCATGATGGTAGGTTTGGTGTTCTTGGGGTTAAAGGCCTCACAAAATCTTTTTTTTTTTTCTTCATTTTTCTCTGCAGTAACAGTAACGTCTCATCTAAATACGAGGACATCATCTCCAAAAGTGTTCTGCTGCATAAAGGACCTCCTGCTGTCTACCAGCTGAGAACAAAGAAAGAGAACATCGGAACTCTGACAAAACTGACTGTTGGTGAAAGAAATGTGAACAAGATGAATAAAACTATTTTATTTGTGGGAGAAACAGGAACAGGAAAATCTGCTCTGATCAATGCTCTGGTCAACTACGCCATGGGAGTGAAGTGGGAGGATGAAGTGTGGTTTCAGATTGTAGAGGTGCAAAGTAGTCAGACAGAAAGTCAGACAAAAGATGTGATTGTATATGAGGTTTTTGGTTTTGAAGATAAAACCAAAAATTACTCTCTGACCATCATCGATACTCCTGGATTTGGAGACACCAGAGGAATTGAACACGATGAGTTAGTCGGTCAAAAGTTGTTGGACTTGTTTAGACTGGAAGATGGAGTTCATGAAGTCAATGCAGTGGGCGCGGTGCTGAAGGCGAGTGATAATCGACTGAGTGACCGACTGATGTATATCCTTGATTCAGTGATGTCTCTGTTTGGAAAAAACCTGGAGAAAAACATTGTAGCTCTGATCACATACTCAGATGGAAGAAATCCTAAAAACGCTCTTCAGGCTCTTGAAGCTGCAAAAATCAAATGTGCCAGAAATGAGGAGAATCAGCCTGTTCACTTCCTGTTTCATAACAGTCAGCATGAAGACCGAACAGAGGAAGCAGAATTCCTGAAAGGTCCTTTTAAATTATCAGAGACAGGAATGAGTGAGTTCACAGCCTTCCTGGAAAAAACTGCACCTCAGAAGCTGATGACAACAGCTGATGTGTTGAATGAACGAACTGGAAGGAACGGACTGAAAAACTGCATCCAAAACCTACAAGAGAGAATCAGATTTATTGAAGCAAAGCAGACAGAAATCAGTCAGACTGAAGAAGCTCTGAAGGAACATGAAGAAGAGATGAAGAATAACCAGAAGTTCATTGTGGAAGTTGATGAACCCTACAAAGAGAAAGAACCTATTGATGGTGGGATGTGGGGGTTGTTGTTTTATGAAGCAGCTGTCTGCTGTGAAGTCTGTGAAGAGACCTGTCACTATCCTGGATGTACAGTGGCCTGGTATCCTGCACACTGTGAGGTCATGAAAAAAGGCTGTTGCACTGTTTGTACCAACAAGTGTCCTGCATCAGATCATGTGAAAGAAAAGTGGAGATATGTGACCAGGACAAGGAAAGTGAAGAAGACTCTGGAAGACATGAAACTGAAGTATGAAGAGAATCAGACAGAAACTCAGAATAAGCAGAGTCTTTTGGAAAAGCTGAATGAAGAAATGAATCAGCTGACGGCAGATAAAACACGGTGGCTGGAGGAGGCCTACCAATGTGTTGTCAGACTGAAGGAGATCGCTCTGAAAGCTAATTCAGTGTCCACTTATGTCCACCTGGACTTCCTGATTGAGAAGATGAAGGAGAACGGAGACACAGAGAAGGTCCAGGACCTGGAGAAGATGAAAAACACAGTGGATGAAGGAACCAGAGCAGCAGTGAGGTACATTGTGGTTTCACAGCAGTTGGTAAAAAAGTTGGGAAACCGTTAATGAATCAGTTTAAGAAGTAACATCATCAGTGAGAGCTGTCGAGGAAAGTGTTTCTCACCTGATGTGACTCCAAAAGAACCTGCACATTTTCTGACCACATGACCTTTTACTGTGAGATCAAATCAGATCAGATAATCCCTTATTAATCCCACAGCAGAGAAATGTGCAGCAGAGAGGAAAGGGCAGAACATGTAGGAATAGGAATTTAGAAAATAAGTTCTGTTGATACTGTACAGGTTCCTCTGAGTGTGGAAAAGTAACAATAATGCTCAGATGTTGTCAGATTTTTTATTTTTTTTAAAAAATTAAATAATGGCTGATAAAAAGCAATCAGTTGTTGAGTAATTAATAATCAAATATAGTTTAAAGTCACTGATTTTGGGTCTACAGGGAAAAATTGTTAAACTATCTCTGGACAAAGTTGTAGCATTAAATTCTGGGTTCTTATGCCTATCACTCTCCTCCAGGATTGAAAGTAACTAGTTACATTTACTCTTACTTCAGTAGGAAGTTATTTTTGTTGTTGCTTTTTCTATATTTTTGAAAAATGTTTTAATTTTTTTTTCGTTGATTCCACTTAGATTCTGAGGTGGTCAGGTGGGAGGTTTTTCAGATTTGTTTGGTTTTATATTGAATGAGCCAAATGACATAAATGCATCGATATCTAACCTCCTCTGTAAGTCCAGTAATATATACTCAAATTAATACATTTTACTTTTATCAGAGTCCATTTACACATGTGTAATATTATTTTATTTTTACGGGAGTGGAATCATTTTTTTTAAGCCAAGTATTTGAAGTACTCTGGAGCACTGTGTAGTATGTGGAGTGGAGCTGACAGTTGTGCTGGTTGATGAAGTGAGGACGCCCCCTGCTGCTTCAAGTTCAGCTCCACCACTGGCATCACAAACAAAACATTGTTCTACCGAAAAACGTCTTTCTACCTGGTTGTTCCAATGTTTCACATCTGTTCATATTATAACGACTGGGTGAAATATTTTCAGTGAAACAGAAACATCTGGATCCTTTTCTGTTGGGTTATTTAATTCACTGTATTGTTGTTCTATGTGAACTCATCTCCTGGTTGATGCCGTTTTATGTGAATCTTCAATAAATCTCTTTGCTGCCAGTGTCTTTACTGGATCATCAGCTGTTCTTCAGTCTCTTCATGCTGCTGCGTCTCAAACTTCATTTATGCAAGTCCAACATGTTCTTCAGGTTCTGGACTGTCAGACGAAACCAGGATCTGCTGATGTCAGTCTGAGCTGCAGTGTAGAGAAGAAGCTGCAGGTTTCACAGTAACTTACTGGCACCTGGAGGCCACAGATTTACTGTCAGAGTCTTTACAGTACTATTGCTGCCATATTATTGCTATTTTTGTTATATTTATATTTACATTATTAATACTGCTTTCAGTTAGTTGAGCTGGAGTTTCAATTGTTGGTCAGAAAACATGCTAACTGCAGAAATATGGCAAGACAGAGTCCTTCTCATCCTAAATATATAATACACACCTGAATGCATCTACAGGGAGGATTTATTGTTAACTGAAAATCTATCAGGATCCAATAATTGGAGCTTCATTCATTACATGCAGTTTAGGTTACTTCATATTTGACCCTCATTTGGATGATATTTCAATTGTCCACCAGGTGGCACCGTTCACCGGCCCCATCCATCCCTGCAGTATTTACCTGCTGACACCAGCAAGAACACATTTAGACTGTTGGACACCTGGAAGTTATGAAGTGACTCTAAAAATGTCAGTGAATTATGAACAATATGCAGTTTGACTTCAATGAAACACACCAATAGTTATTTAAACATATTTTTCGCATGACAAAGTTCTGCTGTTTGAATACAAGCCTGCGTTGAGATCCAGACGCAGGCTGCCTCCTCCTGGTTCTGGTTCTGCTCATTGAAGATGTGGAAGCAGGACAAACAGGACATGATGCTGATGAAACTGTGAGCTGCATCCCCACAGCAGACAGCAGCAGTGTTCCAGTTATCACAGTTGCTGGTCGGCCAAGAGGCACCTGCCTACAGACCTCCACGGTCAGGTCAGTTCCGGTGCAGCCTCTATTGTGAGGACACCTCCACTGTCAGGACAGGAAGTGGCAGTAAAAAAAACAAAAGCATCCAGTCCATTAGGTGGTGGTAACGCACGTACAGTAGTTTTAGTTAGAAGAAGAGGCATTTACGATGCCATTTTACGCCAGTGATTGTCTGGGAAGATTATTGCTCACAGTGAGTTGCTGATTTTTATTATCCACACAAAGTGTAAATGCATGGTTTCTTGTGTTCCTCGTCAGTATAACAGCTGTAAACTTGTATAGAAATCATTAATGATGCAGTTATTGGATATAGGTCACTTTTAAAAGTAGATGAGAATACGCAGGATGTGAGGGTGTTCAAATCTGAGATCCAAGAAAACAACTTCTCTCATTTAACTTAGACGTAGCACATTAGCATACATTCAATTGTGCCACTGTTGATGGTGAACTTAACAGCAGCTTTTGCAAGATACTATGCTGTAACAGATCCAAAAATATCAGGGGTATGTATCAAGTAATTAATTAGGAAAAACACTGAGAGGCACCTTACTGCACTGGATCTGACTTGACCGTGGAGGTCTGCCTCTCATCAGACCTGCTGATGTGGACACACCAGTGGAAGGGGTAGGCTTTTTTGACAGGGTACAGTGCCTGTAGAGTGGCAGACCGGGGTCGTGGTTCCCATTTTTAAAAAGGGGGACCGGAGAGTGTGTGCCAATTATCGAGGTATCACACTTCTCAGCCCAGGAAAGTTTACTCTAGGGTGCTGGAAAGGAGGCTTCGGCTGATTGTCGTACCTCGGATTCAGGAGGAGCAATGCGGATTCCGTCCTGGTCGTGGAACACTGGACTGGCTCTTTACTCTTGCGGAGCTGCTGAGGGGGGCATGGGAGTTCGACCTGCCAGTCCACATGTGCTTTGTGGATCTGGAGACGGCCTATGACCATGTCCCCCAGGGAACTCTATGGGGGGTACTGAGGGAGTATGGGGTACTAGGCTTGCTGTGCCATACGGTCCCTGTACAATCAAAGCGCGAGCTGTGTCCGCATTCCCGGCAATAAGTCAGACACGTTCCCAGTGGGTGTTGGACTCCGCCAGGGTTGGCCCTTGTCACCGATCCTGTTTGTGGTTTTCATGGACAGGATCTCAATGCGCAGTCAGAGAGAGGAGGGTGTCCGGTTTGGGGACCTCAGGATCTCGTCTCTGCTTTTTGCAGACGACGTGGTGCTGTTGGCTTCATCACACTGTGACCTCCAGCACTCACTGGAGCGGTTTGCAGCCGAGTGTGAAGCGGCAGAGATGCGGATCAGTACCTCCAAGTCCGAGGCCATGGTTCTCTGCCGGAAACCGGTGGATTGCCACCTCCTGGTGGCGGGGGGAGTTGCTTCCTCAAGTGAGGGAGTTTAAGTAATGCGGGCGCTGTACCGGACCATCGTGGTGAAGAGAGATCTGAGTGCAAGGCAAAGCTCTCGATTTACCAGTCCATCTACGTCCCAACCCTCACCTATGATCACGAGCTTTGGGTCGTGACCGAAAGAACGAGATCGCGGATACAAGCAGCCGAAATGAGCTTCCTCCGCAGGGTGGCTGGGCTCAGCCTTAGAGACAGGGTGAGGAGCTCGGACATCCGGAGGGAGCTCGGAGTAGAGCCGCTGCTCCTTCGCATCGAAAGGAGCCAGTTGAGGTGGTTTGGACATCTGGTTCGGATGCCTCCAGGGAGGCTTCCTCTGGAGGTTTTCCGAACACGTCCACCTGGGAGGAGACCCCGGGGCAGACCCAGAATCTGCTGGAGGGATTATATCTCTCGGCTGGCCTGGGAATGATCCCCGAGGCAGAGCTGGAAAGCATCGCCGGGGGGAGGGAGGTCTGGGACGACCTGCTCCGCCTACTGCCCCCGAGACCCGACCCCGGATAAGCGGAAGACAATGGATGGATGGATGGATGGAACTTCATCAGGTATAAAAAGAGTGTGTGTCTTTCTGCAGGTCCTCCTCTGAGGATTGTGATGATTGGGAAAACTGGTGTTGGGAAGAGTGTCGTTGGTAACACCATCTTGGGGAAAAAAAATCGAGAAATTTTTAAGTCTGCTGTGAGTGCAGAGTCGGTGACGGAGACCTGTGAGATAGAAAGAGTTGAATGTTCCAGAAAGATCCATGTGGTTGACACGCCTGGAATTCTGGATACGTTTAAAAGTGCAGAACACATAAAGACAGAGATCGCAAAATGCATCCACATGTCCTCTCCAGGCCCTCACATCTTCCTGCTGGTCCTTCAAATCGGCAGGTTCACCAAAGAAGAAGAAAACTGTGTTCAGGCCCTGGAGAAGATGTTCGGACCGAAGGCATCGAATTACATGATCGTCTTGTTCACTCATGGTGACAAGCTGAGTCAGCAGGGCACAACCATACGTGAATATCTGCGAACTGGCAATGTGAAACTCACAGAGCTTCTGAACAGGTGCGGCAATAGGTTTCATGTCTTCAACAACAAGAACAAGAACAGAACTCAAGTGGTGGAGCTGATCCATAAGATTGATGACATGGTGGCAGCAAACGGAGGATCGCACTACAGCGATGAAATGTTTGAAGAGGCCCAGAGACACAGCAGAGCCACTGTATCACAACTTATCCTTCATGGATGAGCTGCAGGAGAGAGTACTCCTGTTTCAATCCACACTGGCTGATGTCTCAATGGACAAAGATGACAAGAACCCATGATCCTTCATGACCTTCATGACTCCATGATGTGGCCACAGTGGGTTTAGACACAAACCTCATTGTCATTTGTCAATCAATAAGAT